ATATGTGCTCGAGTAGGGATCATACTTCCTTTGTGGTTGTCCAAGAAAACCACCTACTGCATTCACTTGCTCAATGGCCTCCTTTTGAAGAGTTGGGTACATATCAGTTGGATGCCCTACTGCTGAACAAATCCCACAAGCCTGAACAAATCCCACAAGCCTTCACCGTTTGCATATTACCTACAGCCATTTGACGAACCAGCGAAGTTAGACTCACAATTTGTTGTTCAAGGGAGGAAATATTTACCTCATTACCATGCCTAGATGGAAGGTCAAGCCTAGTGCCAAATTGTTAAGAATTGGCTGCCATATTTGCAATCAAGTTTCTCGTAGCCTCAGGAGTTTTATCCACCAAAGCTCCTCCACTAGCAGCATCAATCATGCTCCTATCAATGTATAAAAGGCCCTCATAGAAATACTGAATAAGTAGCTGCTCACTAATTTGATGATGAGGGCAGCTTGTACACAATTTCTTAAAGCGTTCCCAGTATTCATGTAGGGACTCTCTGTTATGCTGCCTTACACCACAAATTTCTTTCTGAATGTTGGTTGCCCTCGAAGCTGGGAAATATTTCTCCAAAAATAATCTCTTTATCTCATTCCATGTGGTTATAGTTCCGGAGGGTAGATAATAAAGCCAATCCTTAGCCGAATCCTTCAAAGAAAACGGGAAAGCTCTTAATTTAATTTGCTCCTCGGTCACCCTCATAGGTTTCATACTCGTGCAAACCACATGAAGCTCCTTTAGATGCTTGTGAGGATCTTCAATAGCAAGACCATGAAAAGTGGGAAAGAGATGTATTAGTCCAGATTTTAATTCAAAAGTAGTGGCAGCATCTAAAATAGGGAACGTTATGCATAAAGGTGGTTGATTCAAATAAGGGGCAACAAGCTCTTTCAAAATTCAATTTCCAACCATGACTTCCTCCTATTCTAAATCAGAGTTGCTAGCAAATCGGGAATCAAGAGCCAAATTGTTTTCCTCAGAATTTCTCTGAGCTTCCCTCCTTAACCTGCGCAAAGTGCTCTTTATTTCTAGGTCGAATGTTAAATTACCAAGATGAGAGGACCTGGTCATAGAACAAAAAATCTCATAAAAGAAATATAAAAAATAAATGACAAATAATGAAAACCGACTAGAAAATCTTAAAAAAAAAAAAAAATTATTATTTTTTATGACCAAAAACACAGAAATGGCCAAAAACCCTATCAAACGTTGTTTTTTGGCCTCGAGAGGGTAAGGATTTACTAGTCCTGTGCAAAATTTTGTTTTCTTCAAAATGGCTACTCGCACCGCTCCTAATTCCACCAAAATCCTGCTATGAACAGTACCACCAAATTTTTTTTTTTTAAAACAAGAACAAAAAAAAAAAAAAAAAAATCAACTAGAATCACTCCTCGGCAACGGCGCCAAAATCTGGTGTGATGTCGCAGGCAACCAGAATTAAAATCTAAGAATACATGTAGTAGTGTGAGTAAAGATCGTTCCCACAGAGAGTGTCTAGCCTAGTTTTATGTTAATTGAACAAGGATGGGGGGATTTGAGTATAAAGAAAACAATTTCAAGAAAAAACAACTAAGGGACAATTCAAATCAAATTATCGAAATCAATCAAAAGAACAAACCTTGGTCTAAGTCAACATCCACCGTCAGAATTTTACAACTAATCATCGATGCAAGTATATATCAATTCATACTTTGAATATTCACCGTTGGAACCATTTTCCTATCTCTCCTTAGTTGCAGTTAATTAGGAAACAAGCGATCTAATTAATCTTACTACTAAACAACCCAAGACAAATGCTAAAGGTTTAATCTAGAAGCAGCCTTAAGAACTAAAGAGATCGATGAAGCTGAACAACACAAACACAAGCAGTTGTATTTAATTTAGTTGAGCGTTCTTCTTTAGATTTAATAATTCTTGACGCAGCAAATTCCTAAATCTTAGTTACTCACAAATTAGAGGGATCAAACACTTATGGATTTGATATCTAATTTAGCTATAGATTGCAACAAATAATAAACTAGTAGGCCTCCTAGTAATTAAATGAGACAATAATGAAAATAGGCATAGAAGAACATCCAATACACAAAGCATATATTGAACACCAAAAACAGATTAGATCTCACAGTTTTATTGATTTTGAGGCCTCCGTTTCCTTCGACCAAGTTATGAAAATTTAGCTACTCATGGCCATCATGAAAACATAAAAGGAGAAGAAGAAGAAGAGGGGTAGGAAAAGCGTGTGTAGTGTGTTCCAATCTGGTCTCTCTCCCCCTCTTAAAAATATCCAATTCAAGTCTTTGAATTCTACTCAATCTCCTAAAAATATTCTAAGTTTTATCCTAAAATAACATTTATCCAAATCTGCTTAATTAAAAATAAAATAAAGTCCTAATATAACTAGGAAAGTGGTGTCTCCAGCTATAACTTTCGTGCACCAGATCTTCAAAGCTTCCAATAATAAACCACCTATTTGAATTGCATGGTAAGGCCGAATGTTCTAGAACGTTAGCAGTGCAGGTGTGTCAACTTCAAGCCCAATTACAACCTTGATGCATCAAGTATCTCTCCAAACTCAAAACATGAAAGTTGTAGATCTATTTCTTGGTGTTCCACAGCATTTTTAATGATCTCAATCAAAGCTCGGATGAGAGAGTTATGCCTAGATTACAAAGCAATGTCAAAATTGTCCGATATCACCTAATTAGTTTCATTTTGCATTTAACGCCTCCATTTGCATTCTAAATCAGAATAAAATAATAATGAGTACATTTAGGCACCAAATAAGTATAAAATACTAGACATTAAGGGGAGCAAAATATGACATTTTGCATTCTCATCACATTGCCATGAGAAGGAAGTTGGTGGTCACTTTGGAGGAACTAGAACAGCAGCGAAGGTCCTTCAATCTGGATTCTTTTGGCAAACCCTATTCAAGGACACTTTCTGGTGGGTTCAAGAATGTGATTAATGTCAACGAAGTGGAAATATTTCAAGAAGAGATGAGATGTCATTGAACAACATTCTGGTCGTTGAACTTTTTGATGTGTGGGGGATTAACTTGATGGGCCCTTTCCCGAATTCATATGGAAATGTGTACATCTTGATGGTTGTTGATTATGTATCGAAATGGGTGGAAGCAATTACATTACCCTCTAACGATGCCAAAGTGGTGGTGAACTTTGTGAGGAGGAACATTTTCTCAAGATTGGGAGTACCACGGGCAATCATCAGTGATGGTGGAACTCATTTTTGCAATATGCAATTTGATACTCTTCTGAGAAAATACGGAGTGGCACATACAATTGCTACACCATACCATCCTTAGACCAGTGGGCAAGTGGAACTATCAAACAGAAAGCTGAAAAGAATTTTAGAGAAGACAGTTAACGCATCCAGGAAAGACTAGTCATGGAAGTTGGATGATGCATTATAGGCATACCGCACCGCGTTTAAGACTCCAATTGGTATGTCTCCATTTCGTTTGGTGTATGGGAAGGCATTTCACTTGTCAGTGGAACTCGAGCATAAGGCATATTGGGCAGTCAAGCAGCTAAACATGGATTTACAAGTTGCTGGGGATGAAAGGATGCTGAAATTGAATGAACATGACAAGTTTCGTCATTAAGCTTATGAGAATGCCTGTATTTATAAAGAGATGTGGCACGACAAGCATATCACGAAGAAAAACTTTGAAATGGGTCAGAAAGTACTGCTGTACAATTATAGACTTAGGCTCTTTCCCGAAAAACTTAAGTCTAGATGGTCCGGACCCTTCATAGTTACAGAAGTCTACCCATACGGTGCTGTGGAAACTCACATAAGGAAAAGGGTACATTTAAGGTGAATAGGCAGCGATTGAATCCATACATTGATGGAGCGTTGAGTTGCAAGTCAATACCTGTCAAGCTCGACAATCCAGAATGAGGACTTGAGAAAGTCAAGCTTCCGACTATAAACAAGCGCTTCTTGGGAGGCAACCCAAGCGTTCTCATTTTTAGTTGTTTTAAATTTGTTTATGTGTTTTCTAACTTAGGAAATAGTTTAATTTCGTTTGTCTTTTGGTGTTTCAAGTGAATGATCAAAATGTGGCATGAAAGAAAAATTTCCCAGACTTCGCCGTGGCATTGTTTACACTGCCAAATGCGGATTCATGGAATTCAAGATTTCTCTGCGGCATCGTATACACTACCAAATGCGGACTTAAGCAAAGTTTACTCTTCGCCATGGCATTGTATGCACTGTGACGTTTAAGGAAAAATTTCCCAGACTTCACCGCGGCATCGAGCATCTCGCACAAGTAATTCAAGAACTTCACCATGGCAAAGTTTACTCTTCACCACGGTGAATCCCATTTTCTATATAAACTCGCTTAAACTCTTCATTTTTCGCGTGAGTTCCAAAAAACTTCCAAGAGCAAACAAATCTCACTTTCAATTTCAACCCTTTTCTAATAAAATTTCTTTCACCATTCCACACCATCACTCCCATAAACACTTAAACAACCTTCCCTTGCACCAAATCTAACCAATTTTGAAGAAAATTTTGAAAACCCTAGGTTTTCCAAATTTGGGGGTTTTGCGATTTGGAGACAAATTGGAGCAATTGAAGGTTCATCAAGCTTGGGTGTAGTAAGATTTTGAGTTTTCATGCTTTTGTTTTTACAGATTTCATGGTTTGAATGATCAACCTTTATATTATTGCCTGAACTCAAAAATTTTAGATATTACTTGCATGATTTGAGTTGTGATTTGTGCTGGGAGTGTGGACGTGTTGATTTTGATTGATTGAAGGCTAAGGAAGTTTGGGTGTGTGCTTGTGAAGAGTGTGAGTGCATTTGGAAGTTTGGTAATTGTTGGGGTGTGATTGTTGATTTTGAATTTTAAGGTGAAGTGAGGAATTGATTTGAAGTAGTGAGACGTGTGTAGTAGTGTTGGAGTAGGCAATGGAATTGCTGATTTTGGTGGTAGAGTGTAAAGAGTACTTTTGAGAAAAAATGCCAGTCAAAGCAGTTCCAAGGGGTAAGGGCAAACAGGTCGATAGCAAATTTGTGAATGAGAAGGCTAGGCAGCTTTACGAAGTAGCAATTCAAAGAAAAGACAAACGTTTTATTGCTGAGAGAGGATTGACCACTGTCAATGCAGACGCGTGGAGCAAAGGGAGAGGTTGGGACATCTTTCTACTTGAACCGAAGCATTTAGCCATAGAGCCAATTGTAAGACATTTTATGCAAACTTCTCTGAGTGTGAGCCCAATAATGTACATGTGAGGGGTATTAAGGTGTCGTTTAGTGCAAAAATCATCAATGAATTCTACGATATTGATCCAATTGACCGTAATGAGTATGTAGAATTCAAGGCTAAGTAGATTAACTATGATGAGATACTCAAGGTTTTAACAACGCTAGGTACCTCTTGGGAATTCTCGAAGAAGGGAATGAGAAGCATAAAAGGGACTAATTTGATCCCCATGGCTAGAATTTGGCAATACTTTGTCTGTGCAAGGATGGTTCCAGAAACACACTACAGTTTAGTGGCTTTTGAGCGAGAACTCTTACTTTATGCCATTGCCACTAGAAAGAAGATGGATGTAGGGAATATCATAATGGAGAATATAAGGCTACAGCCAAACCAGGGAGAGCGAATTTTGCCTTCCCACATCTCATCACTGAGATTTGCATTAAAGCTGGAGTCAAGAAGGCGGATGATGAACCACTTCTTTATCCTGCCCCAGTCCTCGACCAAGTCTATTATTTTAAACTCCTAGAGCGTCCTACCATTGGAGAATCCAGTTCAAGCTCAAAAGGACCAAGAACCACACCCTCTACCATAGCTCTTGCTCCATCTCCCACGACAAAAGAAATGCTACAAAATATCCTGAAAAAGATGGATAGAATGGAGAGGCACAAGATTGGATGGCAGACTAGACCCGCACATTGTACAAGATGCAATCGAAGTGTTGGGCTAATCGGGGCATTGATTTAGCCAATTTCCAATGGCAAGAATGGCGAGAGGAGGAGGAAGATCAAATTCAGGATGATGCCATGGAGGAAGAGCACGACGCTGATAGAGAGGATGCAGATGAATGAGCCTGAAATACATTTTTGTTTTGTTTTATTTTTTTTGTGTTGTACAGTGGAACTCAGTTTTTCTTGTTTGTATGTTTACTTTGTTTTGCATTCTTAGGTTTTAGGTTTAGTTAGTTAAGGTCTGAGAATGAGATGTATTTTTTTCCATAATCTGTGAAGTTTTCTAACACATTTTGGACCCTTGAGTTTATGTGCCTTGACAGATTTCGCTGATGGAGAAGACGATGAAAGGATGTCTAGATTTGAGCTCACTTCGATCTTCACGAATTAATCAGGGGAGTATCTCACACCTTATGATCATTTTTCTTTACTCTAATGTGTATTATTGATTGATTTTGAGGACAATGCCATTTTCTGTTTGGGGGTAGAGAAAAATTTATAAATGTTTGCATGTTTTAATTAACTTTTATCTTTCTATGTTTTATTGTTTTTGGGTTGTGTGTTGATTTAGTTTGTGTTTTGTTTTGTTGCCTAGATGATTTGCATAAGTCCATGATGAGATGTTGATCGTTGGAATTTTATTTATAGAAAATGCGAAGCATTGCTTCAAGTTTAGGTTGGTTGACTTGATTTAGCTTGAGGTTCGTTGAGTGGTTCAACCACCATTTTCATTCTTTTGGCATACTTAGAAACATTTTATGTGGTTAGGTGAAGTCTTGATAATGTTGGTGGACTCTAGAACCTAGTTGAGAAGTGTTTAAGGAGAAATTCTAGGATTAGACATTGTTGAGGAAATGATTTAGGCATTTTTTTTTTTTTGGAACGTTTGAGCCTTTCTAGCCAACCCATGAATGAATCTTTCCCTAGCCACCCATTTGAGCCCTATGAGATTATCATTGCCTTATTTTTCTTGCAAACCAAAAATTATCCAATCCCTATACCCTAAACATTTAATCATACCCTTTAAGAGAATCCTAGACCTAATGTATGACACAAAAGAGCTTTGAGAGTTGTGTGAATAAGTGATGGACCAAAATCTTAAGTTTGGGGGTTGCAAAAAAAGGCGAGAAGAAGGGGAAATTGACCTCAGTGGTTTTTTTTAAAATAAAATAAAATAAAAAGAGAGAGAGAGAAATATAAATTTTTAGTTCAATTCAAAATAAAAAATAAGAAATGCATATGTATGAGAGTTATGAAATGGTTGACACCTTGATTGGTGGTTGAGAAAGAAAGTGGAGATTGATGTAGCTCGTAGTGTTTGCATAAGGAAAACCAAGTTCTCTTACTTTGTTTATCTTATTCTTTTCCTTGGAGCCCACTACCCGAGCCTAACGTTACAAGCTTGCAAAGACCTTTTGATCCTTAGAGATGTCTAGTCCACATTAGTGGAGAGTAGTTCGATACTTAGGCTTATGGAGTCTACCACCATTTGATAAACTTTACATTCCTGCATAAAATAATCTGGGAAGTCGGAAAGTGAATTGAAGTGGGGATTACCTACTTAGGGGACCGATAGAGAAAGATAGTCAATCAATTTATAACTTTTTGGAGTGTTAAGCATTTTCTTGTAATAATGTTTCAACAATTTTTGAGACTTGCATTTGCAATTAATCTAAGCATGTCTTTTGTGTTTGATTTTGAGCTTTAGTTTTCTGTTTTTCTGTTGTTTTTCTTTAGTCTAATTTTGTGCCTTATGCTCGAGGACGAGCATATCTTAAGTTTGGGGGTATTTGATAATTGTAGGATTATACTACTTTTCTATACCTTTTTGGTCGATTTTGGATACTTCTTAAATCGTTTTGTGCCTGAATTGCAACTTAAATTCATATATTTTACGTTTCAAGCCGAAACATGCATTTGGAGCAAAACCGAGCGAAATTGAGTTTCTAGACTCATAATTAAGAGAAATTTAGGAATTGGGGAAATTCTGATGCGGAGTGGAAACACTATGAAGCTTGTTCCAATCGGGGATCACGAAGATCAAAGATTCAAGCGAAGAAGCAAGCGGAGGGTAGTTTCATAATTTCAGAATAAAAGAACAACGTTCACCGTGGCAAAGATGATTCTCTGTCGCGGTGAGCTAGCCTCGGGTCAGATGGTTCAACAAGATTTCAATTCGATGCCGCGGCGAAGTTTATTCTTTGCCATGGCGAAAACTACATTTCTTCTGTTATTAAAACGTTGCATTTTAAATGTATTACATTCGAATCCTAGGGTTTTGGCCGACTATTTAAGAGAGCTTTAGCTCATTTTAGAGGGGGTTCGGATTTTGAGAGAAGAAGAGGAAGAGGGAAGATTTCATTCTCTTTCTACTGTTTTTATCATGTTGATTTCTTTTCTTACAGTTTATTGTCCGAATTTCTTTAGTTTAAATATGAACTAACCCACTTTTGGGTTAGGTTTTGACCTAACTTTGATTACAAATGTTTAATCTATTAAGATGTTTTTATATTCTATTGCATTGGATTTTGTATTTATTCTTGTTCTTAACGAAATTGAATTTGCGTTTTCCTTATTTCAATTGAATGTTGAGCATGATGAACTGAGAAGTGATTCATGTGTTAGCCTCTTAGAGTAAATACCATAGTTTAATGAACGCTAGAGATGGGTTCGGAGATCTATGAAATCACTTTAGGGTTCCATTTAGCTAAAAAGACTTTGAACTATTAATCTTCATTTTGTTGGGTGCGGAAACTTAATAGGGATAAGTAGGAAAATATAGCCTGAGAAGGTATGTTTTACAACTTAGGGAATTCAATTTAAAATCCTTCCATGTGAGTTTAAAAGCAACATCAACTGCAGATTGAATCAAAGTAACTTAGTGAAGTCAAACCCTAACCTCTTTGTCTTGAATTGATATTTCCATAATCAATTGATGTTTTCTTAAGTTGTTAGAATTTAAATTTATGTTATTAATTTTGTGTTAATTTCTGTTTTTGTCTCCCACAATTCCAAAAATCTTTATTTTCTTCAACTAGTTACAAACCTAGGAAAATTAGTACTTAACACACAATCCTCGTGGGAACGATACTCTATTAATCACTTTATTACTTTTTGTAACTAGTGCACTTGCTACACATTGCATGCTGTAAAATCAACGCATCAACTTGTAGGGTGTTTGTGGGTAACATCGCTGAAAACCCTTACAAGACTATAACTCATCCACTAGGGGGACCTAGGGGTTTAAAGGATTATTGTATACGCTAAATGCAATCGTGATAACCAACAGAAGTGGTTTAGGATGTTTAGTTAGGTTAGATTTTATTTTTATATCGCTTTCATTGCTAGGGACTAGCAATAAGCTGGTTAGGGGTTGTGTTGAGTGTTGGAAATGCAAATTTATTTAGTGATTTGGGGGTGAAACTGTAAGAAATTTAAGGTTTAATGCATGATTTATGATGTGAATTCTTGCATGTTTCGTTATCTTCCAGAATCATGAGTTGTGTGTGTTTTTCAGGTATTGTAATACTTTCTTTCTAGCTAGTATACTCGTAAAATAATCAATAAAACTCATTAAAAATATATATAAGAAAATACACATATAAATGAGTAATAAAGTATGGGCCCATATTTAATTTTTCTTTGTATACAAGTATTTAAAAAATATACTCAAAATAGCAACTTGATAGTGTAGCCCAATCCCTTCCACTGCATGACATTCCGAGTGACCGCAACTCACCTATTACTTGCAAAAACATTGAAAACAACGGAGTGAGAACTAATTGGTCAGTAAGTAAACCCACTATGCTACCGTTCTCTCTCCGTTGATTAAATCCTGAATTTTCTTTCCTTACAACTCATTTCTTGAGTATTCCTTATTCTTTCTCTATTCTTCTCTCTGTTCTTTCTCATCCTTTCTCTATTTTCTCACTGTTTTTCTCTCAAGTTTCTAATTTTTCACTATTCACGATAATGAGCATGGTATTATGCATATTTATGATGCAAATGCACAAATGCATAGATTATGCATTTTCTTTTCTATTTTTCTTATTCTGTTTTCTGTTTCTTATTCTTTATTTCTTTCTTTCTCTTCTAGTCTTTCTTTCTATTCTTTCTTTTCTTTCTTTCTTTCTTTCTATTCTTTCTTTCTTTTCTATTCTTTCTTTCTTTTCTTGCTGATCAGACTTGGTTGAGGCATGGATTTGGAGCCTTGGTCGTGTGAGTGAATTCTCTAATTCTGGGTACAG